AGTCATACTCCAATGTTCAATTTCAATATATAAATATTCATTTATATATCAATATCATCCATACATGAATTAGAAATGTCTATGTTAACATAATAGTTCATTAATAGCTCAATTAACTCTATATTAACAATATAGTCCCAAATCATAGTCAAGTTTGTTACTTAAAAATTATATCCATATTTTATTAATATTGAAGCTAGGGTTGGACCGGTTCCAATCCAGGTCGGGCCTGACCGGGCTTTTTCTTGGGGAAGTGAGGCCTGAAACCGACCTGGGTAGCCAGCGGTTCGGGGACGGGGCGGGCCCAGGGGCGGATGCACATTCATCTAAATGGGGGCACTTGCCCCCAATAGCATCTCAATAAATTAGCACATCCATTACAAAAAATTAATATTAGGAAGTTTTGCCCCCAATAAAAATATGTCATTGCCCCCAATAAAAAGCAAAATTGATTAGCCCACATAGCACATCAACGAAGTAAAACTCTAAAAGATACTCCATATTGTATAAATGTAGTGCCCTCCATTATATTTACGAAAAGGAATGTTTTATGTTGAGTTTAATCCAATATGATATAGTAAATATATGTATAAATGTGTATGAACAAGCTCTTTTTACGTGAAAACCCGAAAGGGAGAAAACCACGGGACTTTTTAGGCTAATGTCCAAGCCCTCTCATTCTCATTAATCTCTCCTCACCATTACATAGTACAATTTGAGCTCCATTAATGGAGTCTTACAAACTATTCTAGAGAGAAGGAATGAGTTAGGGAAGAAGAGAAAAGATCCCTAAACATGTGGGAAAACCCCATATTTATTGGGGAAAGGGAATAGGGGAAAACCTACCCTAATGGGCCGAACGGGCCAAAATGGGCCGAAATGGGCCCAAAGGCCGAAACAGGCCTAATAAGCTAAAACGGGCCTCACTGATCGGGCTCCGTACTACGTACAGTCTTGGGCTTCTGAACAGTAACGGACCGGGATAATATATCTCAAGAATCATAATTTTCTTTAATTGTAAATTTTAACTTTCATATACATAGAAACGTACTTCATCTATTTCTATTTTTTCTAAATAAACCACTTGTTTTATCCTCCCCAAAATTACCTCACATTTTTAACTAAGAAGATATTATGTGATTAAGATGTTTTATACTCGTATGATTATGACTACGATTAATGCATTTATCACCACTATCAATAATAAATTACATCAAAATCTAAAAATAATTTAATGTTTTTATTATATGGCCATTCACCCACTTTAAAAATTAAGGAGTATTAAAAATTTATATGTAGTACGCTATGATTATTAAATTACTCTAGCAAAGTACGTAGATTGAGTATATAGATAGTGTGTATGTCATAATTTTATCTCCCTAATTTTATCTTTAAACACCAAACACTTCTTGGCTTATCCAATCCTAAACCCTAATAATTCAGTATAAAAAAAAGTTGTATAATTATACCATTTCCTATACGATTCCCTAACCAAATATGAACTCTTTTCATCGTTGAAATTTAATTATAATACTTTACTGAAAAACTCTATTAAGGTCTGCACTCCTATTAATTTACTTTGGATGAAAATAGCAAAAAAATTAAATTGCACATCATTGACATATAAAAAAGAAAAACGAAACGTGGTAACATACGACATATAAATGTGACCATATCACCTAATATTTAATACTTTATTAGAAATTCAAAATTAAAACCATTCTTTACCAAAACAATATAACCTCTTACTAACCATTTTTCCATTATTTAATATTTTTTCCTAAATACCATTTCGAAAATCATAAGTTTATATTAAGTTCAACAAGCAGGGGTGGTTCCAGGATTCTGAGTTGTCCTAGGCTAAATAGAAATTATACTACGCTTAAATATTAGAGGGGTGAGCTAAATATGAAAAATGAAAAAATTTACACTAAAAAATTTAAAAAAAAAATCTCAATCGCTCTGGGCTTCAGCCTACCATAACCCGTACATAGATCCTCCCCTGTCAACAAATAATGTATGTAATGGTACTCTTTACTACAGACATTCAAAGTCTACACATTTGTTTAGATAAATCAAAACAACATCTTGCCCCCAATAACCTTTCGGGCTGGATCCGCCACGGGCCGGGCCGGATCAATTTTTTTCTTTTGCTTTTCTAATTAATCCCTGACCCCCCACCCCCGAAACCCCCCCAAAATACCCAGCCTAACCCGGGGAAAAAAATTGAAAAAAAAAACCGAACCGGACCCGGCCCGGCCAGTTCCATTTTTGCCTGACCCGAGCCCACTATGACTAACAGCCGGTGTGGTCCACCCGGACCGGTCCAGGACCCAGTCACCGGGCCAGGCCGGTTCACAGGCCGGTCGGCCCGATTGCCGTCCATCCCTAATTGAATCATCATAATCCATGAAAATATGATTTAGGGAGTGTTTGCGATTGCTTTTACTTTTTAAAAGTGATTTTTTAAAGTGATTTTGAGAAAAGTGATTAATAGTAAAAGTTGGTAGTTTTTGGGGAAAAAATGATTATGAAAAAGTAAAAATTGCTAATGTTTGATACAACAAGTGCTTTTTGTGTAATTGAAAAAGTGAAAAGCAGTTTAAAGCACCTCTCAACCTTCTTTTAACTTTTTTAACTTTTAAGTGATTAATTTAAACAGAAGCTGTCATTTGAAAACACTCATTTCAGCTTTTTAAGCCAAAAGCAGAAAAGCACTTAAATTAATCTTTAGCAAACACTCCTTAAGACATTTAAGTAATTTCATGCTTGATAAGTTATATGCAATTAGATGTTGAACCTCACCTCAAATGAGCTCCAAATTACCCACTTTCAATCCTATGCCCAAACCAGGCAGGTAATATTGAGGACTGACTCCTTCCTTAAAAATGGTGTCTAGACAACCTCCTTCAAGTGATTGTATGTTCCTTAGCAAGATATATGAAAAACAGTCCTCTAGAAGGGTGTTTTCTGGCGCATTCGCGTTCATTAATACTAGAAGCCCATTTGGTAACACATTCTTTCGAGTTAGCAGTCTTATCGGTCAACTTTACCAAACACGTAACTTTTTATATTTTTACATACTTTTTTCTACTTGAATTGACTGAATTGCTGAGTTGGGCACGTTTAGCTATTTTTACATACTTTTTTCTATTTTTACTTTTATTAGTAATATATATATATATATACATATATATATATATATATATATATATATATATATATATATATATAATTTTTCATAATTTAGCGAATTTGACTCTTTCAACCTTTTCAATCAACTTTCATCAATTTCAATAGATTCAGCCAATTTTAGTATTATCAAATGGGCTCTAAATTAGATAGAGAAAATTGCCTTGCGTAAGACCAAATCATATGCAGTTTACAAAAGTAAGACTCGTCCATGTTTTTGCCATCCGTAGGGTTATTTTAGCTCTATTTTAGCAAACGTTATTGTTTCTTTCCATTTTTGCCCTTCCTCATTGCAGGTCAACCAAGGAGAAGACGCGTCCGAGGAAATCGACTCATCTCCTCGTCGCAGATTACAACGTAGTTCACCGCCGTTCATCGCTGCCGCCAGAGAGGTCGTCGCCTGTCATCGCCGGAAACGTAAACACACACAAAGGCAAAAAATCAATTTCGTAGCAATCACGACCATGGAGAACTATCCGTGAGATCGAGTTCAATATCCTCCCTAGGACGATGCTAATAAGCCTTTCCTCCCAATTTCAAGGTCAAGTTCAATGTCCTCCCAGTTTTACGTTACCTGCTCTGTTATTGAGCTATTATCAGAATTTATTGTCTGGTTAATGACTACTTATTGTCTATGTATTGTCTGCTATTGAGCTATTATTAGAACTTATTGTCTATATACTGACTACTTATTGTCTATGTATTGCTTTTGGATCTGATTTCTTCAAAAGTTTTGCAGAGTATCTGGTGACTTTGTGAAAATATGAAATTGAAGTTCGAAATTGGCAAAATCAATGTCCAAAATCAGAAAGAAGAAGAAGAAAAAGATGATGACGATGATGATGAGGATGAAGAACAAACCTATGGCGGTGGCGTCCCTGGAGCAGCTATCTGATGCGTCGGCGATGGTGTTTCAACACCGGTAATGGTGAAATCAGCAGCGGTGGTGATGCTGGTCGTCGATCGATCTCAATCGTGAAGAGGAGAGAGCAAGGTATCTGATGCGTCGTCGATCGATCGATCTCAAGGTGTCGGGTCGATGAAGTTTGCGCAAAGTTTGTTTGATGCGCAGGGTTATTTAATCAAGAGGGCAATTTGGTCAAAACAGATGTACTTAGGTCTTATGCTAATCTGTAGTCTTAATTTTGGAAAATCAGGGTGATTAGATCCTATTTGTTGAAATCTCCCAAATTAGATATTACTTTGTCAATATTATCTGAATATTAACGCTCTCCATCCAACTAAAATTCTTTCATCTTTCTTTTTCGGTTTGTCCCACTAAGATTGTCTCGTACCAAATTCGCTAAAATTTGTGTGCTTCTAAATCATTTTTATTTTCCCAATTCAATATTAGCAACATAAACTCACTTTTCCTAATAACCACACAACCACCTCATGTCTCAATGTTATTGGGGCGGGGTATTATTATGTTACACTCTACTTTTTAATGCATTTACATTATATCATATCCAACAAAAAGTCGCTCAAATAATTTAACTTTATGCAATAACTTACAAATAACGTTACTTTAGTATTGTAAAGGTTCCACCTACGGTGGGTAATGGGGGGGTTGGGGTAGGAGAAAAGTATGATGCAAAAAATAGAGTATAGAGAGATTGTTTCCGGATGACACATGATCAAAATCGTGTCGAAAATTGCAAGAACAAAAATATGCAGATAGTTTAGTGAACCATTTTACTTTATTTCATCCTATTGCCAAGTCAAAAAATAGTGAATCTTAGGGCTCCATTGAAAAGATGAAAACTTTATGTAATAACCTAAAGAACAAAATTGAAAAAAACATTGTGTGCATGATTAAATTACTCGTCCTCTTTATTTTAGCCTTAGCGTATCATTATCATGCTTTGCTTGTCTTCCCATCCAAAAAATGCCACAAAAGCTTGTAAACAATATTGTGAGGCCCATAGAGTCAAAACACTTCTTAATATTCATATGATAGGTGCAACAATAGTAAGACCAACCCATGTTTAACCTTGGTATATGGATAGGATTACCTATCAACAACATAGTTGGACCTAATAGGCACGCAATTGTCGTGCCGGGATAGGGGGTGAAGGTGGACTGGGGACGACGTCATTTGGTCCAAGATGATCTATCGGTGGACGTCGCTTGTGATGATCAGTGACACTCTGGTAAGCTATTGCTAATGCCAATGCCTGCATTTTCATAGCACAGGGTTACACATAATTTAGAAGCTGTTCTGTTCGTCTTTTTCTTATTACTTATTGCTTATTCTTATTTTATTCAGATCAAAAAAATTCAAATCAAATTAGATCAGAAAGATTCAGATCAGATTAGATCAGATCAGAAAAGTTCAAACATGATTAATCAATTTTATTATAATAATTATAATTATAATTATAATTATAATTATAATTATAATTATAATTATAATTATAATTATAATTATAATTATAATTATAATTATAATTATAATTATAATTATAATTATAATTATAATTATAATTATAATTATAACTAATACAATAATTAAAATCATAGCTAATTATAATTATGATCATAATTATAATTATAATTATAATGATCAGAATTACAATTATTATTCTCATTATGATTATAATTACAGTTATAATTAAGATTATAATGATCATAATTATAATAAGCTCCTATTGGAGTAACCTGATTCATCGTTTCACAAAATTCTGCCGCAGCCGAGCTGCCATCACCGAACTGACTCTGGTTATGTAAGGGAACTCGGGGCAATTTATTATATTAATTAATTAAATTAGGAGTAGAAAGATAATGTTTAGTCCTATTTAGGGAAATAAAAAAATAGTCATATTTTTGGAAGAATGAGTCTTAATTGAGCAATTTCTTCTACTTAAAATAAATAAAAAGTTGTACCTAAGCCAAACATTTCTATTTTGGATGCAGGGAATAGTAATTTTCTAATTCAAGACTAACTAACAGAGACAAATTTAAAAACAATTATTCCTCCATTACCCTCTCAAATCCCCTAATATAACATGTCATGACGCCACTACTAGCATCATTTGGGAAGCATTTAATCTATACTCCTGTATTAAATAAGTGTCAAAGCAAGCCTAAAAGTGATACTCACAATATGGTCATGGTCAGGTGGAGCATAAATGCCAGTGGTGATTGTAGTTCTTCGCGGAGTATCATTCAAAGGTGAACTAGATATCTTCTTAAACCCAGTTGGGACAACAACCACAGGCATGCCCACGAGATTTCCGACACACACTTTCTCCCAATCAGTTGCATTTCCAATTAAAGCATCCACTTTGAAACTCTCTTTCACTTCCTGAATCAATTTCCATCTAGCTCTTTGTGCCTGATACAAACATAGAATAGTGAGCAGTGAAAAGTGTAGTGTTAGCAAGAAACAGTAATATTATGTACCTTGGGTCCAGTTTGGATGGAGGCTTTTGGAAGGGAAGGATTTGGAGAAGTTGGGTTATAGTCTTGGCGAATGGAATGCTTCTTAAATCTCAAATATTATGTCAATGAAATAAAAATAACCTAATACGTTAATCCATCAACCTTTATAAAAGCACAAGTATATATCATGATACATACTTGGCCCTCCATAAAACGACACACACCAAAACCTTTCGTCCAAACTGACCCTTAGTGTAAACAACCACAGTTTAAGATAAAGCTGTTAGGTGCAATTCTAAGTTACGGCCAAGTCAAACATCGCTTAACCATCAGCAATCATCTATCAACACGGCAACACTTAATCCCAACAACCTTGGTGGCATGCAATTTATAATGTCAATTGACTATTCAAAATTCATTAACCCTATAAAAGTTTCAAGGTGGGGATGCCCTTCGTCTTGAAACCCTCTAAAAAGGAATCGTGAAATGAAATTTGAATTGTCATCGTCACATGTCTCTTTCACTTGCTTGAAAAAATGGAAATATTATGATGTCATGGTTATTAACATGTACACCTTTGATCAGTCATTTTATTCTACATGGGCTTCGTAAGGGGTCATCACTTTTTTATCTAATAACTTTAGGGTCTGCTAGTGATGTGGGATTTCACACGACCTGCCGCATCTACACTTTTGGTGAAATTGCTATATCTGTCACGAATTCAATAAAAAAGAAAATATGATCATGACTAGTCGAGTGATCTAATAACACAGGCATATTTCATGCAGTCATATGCATACTACGTGAGGGAGCACATAGATTAGTTTTATTCTTTTTACAAGTTGTTGAGATCTTGTTACAAGTTGTTACGCAGATATTTTTCATACCTTGATATAAATACTCTTGTAACTAGCTAGCTAAAGTCAATGAGAAAGTTTATCTTCTTCTCTTTCATTTTCTCTCTCGTTTATCTCTCGTAGAACTGCTAATATGGTATCAGACGAACAATCTCCATCTCTGCGCAATACTCTGTAAATCCAAGCTTCAATCATGGTGACTACTCGATCCAACACGGAAAACTCTGACTCTACTCCAGATCACCTCATCAATCCTTCTAATCCTCTCTTTCTTCACCCTAATGAGAATCCAACACTCGTTCTTGTTCCCGTTCTACTTACTGAGAAAAACTTCCATTCATGGCGACATCAGATGCTTGCTATGTTGGAATCAAAAAATAAGGATAGGTTTGTTGATGGTTCATTTCCTTCACCATCTGCGAACGATCCTTTACATGAACCATGGAGAAGATGCAATCGGATGGTTATGGCTTGGCTAATGAGATCTATGACTCCAACCATTGCAGAATCAGTCGTCTACTTCGATACAGCTACAGAAATTTGGAATGATCTATCAGAACGTTTCTCTCATGGTGACATGTTCCGCATAGCTGATCTACTTGATGAAATTCAACAAGTCCGTCAAGGTTCATCTACTGTTACTCAATACTTCACAAAATTACAGACACTTTGGAAAGAATTGAGTCAATTTCGAACAATTCTGATCTGTAAATGCTCGACACCTTGCTCATGTGGAGTTCTTAAGAAGGTTATCAAAGAAAGAGAAGATGAAAACATTATCAAATTCTTACGAGGCTTAAATGATGAATTTGCTCACGCTCGGTCTCAGATTATGTTGCTCAACCCTAAGCCTGCAATAACCAAAGTGTTTTCATTAATTTTACAACAAGAAAGAGAGTTTGGATCTTCCATATCATTCATCACAAACAATGTCAGTTCATGCAATATCATAACTCAAAACCAGCCTAGGATCAATTCATCAAACAGAGGAAACTACTCTACTTCTCGTGGTAACTCTTCAAACAATCGAGGTGGTGGAAGGAATTCTTCCACAGGAAGAGGCAGAGGAAATCGTTTTTGTGATCAATGCGGAAGAACTAATCATACGAGAGACACATGTTTTCAGATTTATGGATATCCTCCTGGTTATAAAAACAAATATACCACCACATCCAATAACTCCTCTGCTAATCTTGCTTCCATTGATCCAAGTGACAGCTCACAGTCACAATGCTCTTCAGATAATCTACCTAAAGATCAGTTCACTTTGTCTAAGGAGCAATATCAGGGAATCATGGCTCTTCTTCAACAAACTGACTTGCATGCTACTACTCATTCTGTTAATCAGACCAACACCAGCCCTTTGATTCTTCCTGGTAAATCTACTCATTCTTCTTTTCATTGGATTATGGATAGTGGTGCTACTGACCACATTTGTCCATTACAGACTCTCTTTTCATCTTTAACTCCAATCTCACCTATTCATGTTAATCTTCCAAATGGCTCTTTTGTTACAGCTTATCATTCTGGCACTATTCACATAGGAAATTTAACTCTTCATCGTGTCCTTTATGTGCCTCAGTTTCAATCTTATCTCATTTCAATTCCAAAACTTGTCTCTTCTGATTGTTATGTTGTTCTCTTCTCAGAACTTCATTGTTTCATTTTGCAGAAGACATCTTTGAAGATGATTGGACTAGCTAAAAAGTCTCAAGGACTTTACTGCTTATCTTCTGCAAATAGTATAGAGTCTCATTTGTCTTCCAATAAATGTAATGTTTCTCATGCTAGTCCTACTGTAATAAATAAAACCATTTCAGATGTTAATCATCCTGAATGTTCATCATTAATCTGGCACCTCAGATTAGGTCATGTCTCAAATACTGTACTCAAGGAATTATCTCATCAATACAAAGAAATTCCTTTTACTTCATTTGATAATTGTGATGTATGTCATTTTTCAAGGCAGAAAAGACTTCCATATCCTAACAGCACAAATAAATCTCAAAGATTTTTTGAAAAGATCCATGTTGATATCTGGGGTCCTTTATCTACAACTTCTATTGATGGTTTTAGATATTTTCTAACCATTGTAGATGACTTTAGTAGATTTACATGGATTCACACTCTCAAACACAAATCTGAAGTCAAGTCTTTACTCATTCCATTCATTTTGTTAATTCAGAATCAGTTTGATTGTCATTTAAAACAACTCCGTTCAGATAATGGCAAAGAATTTCTTCTTCATGATTTTTATCAACTCCATGGCATTCAACATGAAACATCATGTGTTGAATGTCCTCAACAAAACTCAATTGTTGAAAGAAAACATCAACACATTCTAAACACCACTAGAGCCTTAATCTTTCAAGCAAAACTACCACACAATTTTTGGTCATTTGCTGCCAGACATGCTACTCATGTCATCAACAGACTACCTACTCCAACACTACATCAAAAGTCTCCTTTTGAAGTTATCTACCATTCTAAACCTGACCTACACTCTTTAAAACCCTTTGGTTGCCTTGCCTACTCTAGTACCTTATCCTCAGGTAGATCTAAACTAGATAGCAGAGCAAACAAATGTATCTTTCTTGGTTTCAAAACAGGAACCAAGGGATACATTCTCTATGACATACATCACAACAATGTTTTTCTTTCCAGAAATGTCACATTCTGTGAAAATGATTTCCCCTTTCATTCTTTCAATACTGATGTCACTTATGACTATAACTTTGAACCCACTCCATCTGTTCCTTCAGAAAGTTTCACTTCAAATTCCAATTCAACAGACCTTTCCATCACTCATAACACCAGAACTAGGAAACCACCAGGTTACCTAAGTTCATACTATTGTGGTACATCCAGATCCTCTACCCCTACACCATACAAACTTGAATCATATCTTGATTTTTCCAAATGTTCCAAAGGTCATACTGCATTCTGTCATAATATTTCTACTCATACTGAACCCACTTCCTTTAAGCAAGCAAGTCAACATGAATGTTGGAGACTAGCCATGGCTAATGAACTGAAAGCTCTTCAAGACAATCAAACATGGTCCTTAGTTAGATTACCTAAGGGTAAACAAACAGTGGGTTGCAAATGGGTTTACAAAGTCAAGTTCAAATCTGATGGGACAATTGAAAGATATAAAGCCCGTCTGGTAGCTAAAGGCTTCACTCAAACAGAAGGAGTTGACTTCTTTGAAACATATTCTCCAGTTGCTAAGCTAACCACCCTTCGCATATTGATTTCCATAGCCTCTACAAACAATTGGTACATTCAGCAACTTGACATAGACAATGCATTTCTACATGGCACTCTATGTGAAGAAGTTTATATGAAACCACCACCAGGACTGCTACCATCCAAATCAGATCTAGTTTGCAAGCTACACAAGTCACTCTATGGTCTTAAACAAGCCAGCAGGCAATGGAACCAAAAACTCACATCTGCTCTTACCACTATTGGATATCATCATAGCTCAGCAGATTATTCCCTTTTCATCAAGAAATCTGATTCCAAATTCACATTTATCCTCATCTATGTGGATGATATAGTAATTACTGGAAATGATCTTGATGAGATCACAACAGTAAAAACTTACTTAAACACTCAATTCCACATCAAAGATCTTGGACATCTCAAATACTTTCTTGGTTTAGAAGTTGCACGTTCCAAGAAAGGCATAGTCATCAATCAGAGGAAATACTGTTTGGAACTCATAGATGAGTTTGGACTTGCAGGTTGCAAACCTGTATCTACACCAATTGATCCTTCACAGAAACTTACTCCTGAATCTGGTACACCACTACAAAATCCTACATCATTTCGCAGGCTCATTGGTAGACTTATTTACCTTACCAATACTAGACCTGACATCTCCTTTGCAGTACAACATTTAAGCCAGTTTGTCTCTAATCCTAGAGATACTCATCTAAATGCTGCTTTACGAATCCTCAAATACCTCAAATCATCTCCTGGACTTGGTCTTTTTTATCCATCCTCAAACACTTTTAACATTCAAGCATTCTCTGATTCAGACTGGGCTACATGTCCTACTACAAGAAAATCCATCACTGGCTTTTGTGTATTCCTTGGAGCTTCACTTATTTCATGGAAATCCAAGAAACAAAGCACTGTTTCCAGATCTTCCTCTGAGGCAGAATATAGATCCTTAGCTTCATTAAGTTGTGAACTGCAATGGCTTCAATTTTTACTCACAGATCTTGGTATTCCATTGAAACTTCCATTTTGTGTATACAGTGACAGTCAATCTGCAATTCAGCTAGCTAAAAATCCATCATTTCATGAAAGAACAAAACATGTGGAAGTTGATTGCCATTTTATAAGAATCAAGGTTGATCAAGGTCTAATAAAACTGTTCTTTGTTCCCTCAGCCAATCAAGTGGCAGATTCATTCACAAAGGCTTTGTATCCATCTACCTTTCAGAATATTATCTCCAAGCTTGGTCTTCATTCCATATACGATCCAGCTTGAGGGAGGGTAATAACACAGGCATATTTCATGCAGTCATATGCATACTACGTGAGGGAGCACATAGATTAGTTTTATTCTTTTTACAAGTTGTTGAGATCTTGTTACAAGTTGTTACGCAGATATTTTTCATACCTTGATATAAATACTCTTGTAACTAGCTAGCTAAAGTCAATGAGAAAGTTTATCTTCTTCTCTTTCATTTTCTCTCTCGTTTATCTCTCGTAGAACTGCTAATATGATCAGCCTCTCAGACCGACAAATTGTCAAATTTTTTCTGCTAGGCTCCCACATGATCACACTGGTTTCCAGAAATGAGCAAAGCTTCCACGACATTCTATTTCTAGAGAGTTAGAAAACTCCTGAAAAAGACTCAACTACGAGCAAAAGAATTTCTTTTGTATTATGATGCAGGGTCAACAGAAATACAAAAATATATGAGGTACTCATAGGTGATTAAAACACGTCAATGATATCCTAAAGTTACCTAAAATGAAAATATGAAACTTTCAAAACAGGTAGGAATTTAATTACTACACTAATGTGGTTAGCGGATAGCGAGTTATGTTAGCGGGTTGTCAATAGTGCATTCAGTCAGCGGGTTTGACTAGCGGAATGATAGAGCAGGGAGAGCAGGGGGCTGTGTGGAAGAGGAGGGTCCGAGACCCAAGGGCTGTCGGTTTACTCCAGGCGGGAACGGGCTTGAGCCCACCTTCGTGGGCTGGCTGCGGGCAATTTAATTAATTTTAATTATTCCTTTTATTTTGTTTCCTAATTTATTTTGTTTCCTAAGTATAATTTAATTAGGACTTCTATTCTCATTAGAATTAGAGGTTTCCTATTTCTATTTAGTTTCCTAGAATGATTTAATTAGGACATCTATTAGAACTAGGGGTTTCCTATTCTATTTAGTTTCCTATTATGATTTAATTAGGATTCCTGTTCTTATTAGACCTAGAGGATTATTTATACCCCTTTGTATGCTTCATTCTTGATCATCTTGGAATAAAATTGGTTTTAGCCTTTTGGCTCTGGGCAACGGTATTTTTTTACCGTTGATTATCGGGCAACGGTTTACCCCGTTGATTTTATTTTTTCCTGCTCCACAACACGGAATAAGTTGGAGGGTTGCCGGAACATGTTTGGTAAATTAGTTGTCTGGCCATAAAAATTAGTATAAAACGCCATTTTTAAAACGTTAACTTCAAACTCTCCTATTCGCAGCATTTTCATTTCAGTGGTTCGTCCAAAAACGCTAGGGCCTAACAGCTATTTACCAAATGGCGTTTTCATTTATTGAAAACGCTAAAAGTGATCAAACCGCCATTTTTTTGTTGATACGCCATTTTCCAAGCACCCCCTGCATCTTTTAACATTAATTAGTCCCAACAGCTTGTATGTCAAACAGAACTAAATCAAGCAGTCAGTTTTTTTTATCAAACAATTACCACCTTTTTATTCTGAGATCTTTTCAGTCGCTAAAGGCTATCAGTAACTGAAAAGATCATAAAAGTATCTTTTCAGCTAGTTGTGCCAAACATACCCTAAGACTGCGTACATTCGACCCCCTTACCCCCACCGAAGGTGGGAGCCTTTGCGGCACTGAGGTGATGATAATGACCAGAAGAGGGGTAAGGTGTATTATTGTGCGCATGTTGCACCCTCTAGATCTGTCAATAGCAAGCATGGATCCATACGAGTTGAGGGGTAACAATGAGCCATCACTGCAGATGCTTCTCTACCCATTTTATTTAATATAAAGCATTATTCAAATCAACATGGTGCATCTTGCCAACCTCCTCTTAAATGTCTCGATCTAATCCTTCAAAGAATCGAGCAATGGCTCGTTCTTCTGGCTAAATGATGTTAGCACGGATGTTGATGGTATTGGTCTCCTTGAGGTACGTTCTACCACAGCAATATCTTCTCAAGATCATATAGGAATGGAGGTGGCAAAAATCTATCTCGGGGCCTTTTCTTCAACCCATCCGAATTCCAAGTGGTCACAATTCATCCACTGATAGTAACTCGCAAACTTTCTTTCTGTTTTCAATAAAATTGTCATACCCTCAAAGGCAAGCAATTCCCAAACAGACCTTTTTCTCCTCAAAATAGGTATTAACATTAAATACATTATCCAGTTTATCCTCCCACTCCACCAAGCATTTCCCAGGTCCTCCCTCTCCAGCACAGTGTGAAGTCCAAGTCTCAGAGTCGCGACCCACTCATCTCAAGGTTGTACAAAACGTCCCATTCAAGCCTTCAAGGAAAGGTGTAAGTGTTCCTGCGGTGGTGCTGGGAATGTGAGATTCCATCAGAACTAGAAGAGTCCTCAGCCTCACCCAAGAATCTTTGTTCACCCCTATGTATAATGACATTAAGGCATTGATCTATATGTTGATGGGTCATGTTCAAGTCGTGCATGTTAATGCGTATTTCATTTATTGAAGTAATGAGATCTGACAATCTGACATGGGGAAATTCATTGGTTGCCCCACTTTGGGTAACTGTTGATATTTTAAATTAAGAAAAATAGGAAAAGATCAACACTAACAAAAGACATTAAGTTGGTAATACCGTAATAAACAAACCCCTAAACTGCCTTCAAAAAAATAGGAAAAGATCAACACTAACAAAAGACATCAAGTTAATAATAAACAACCCCCCCCTTCCAAACTGCCTCTCCCCACAAAATCCTCACGGTTAACCCTCTCTATTTCGAATGAATATAAAGTATGTAGGTTATTCTCCACTCGCTTACAAAATAATCTCACAAGCCTTTTCAAGTGGACAAGCAGATAGGCTTGAATATTGGAAAAAGAAACATGGTTGTCTATTTTAGGGATGAGAACAATAAGTGAGCTAGACATAGCTCGGGGAATCCTAATACAACAACGACATCCAAGCCTTATTCCTAAAAGATTTTGGGGTCAACTAATATGAATCGATCCATGACATCGGAGGCAAAAAAAGAAGAAAGATAAGAAGAATAAAAAAATAAACTAAGATAAAATGGATAAGATAAAGATAAATATAAAATAAGAATGACAAAAGAACATAAGAAAGATAAAAGAGCATAAAATATATAAAAGATAAGAGTAACATCAGAACAATAGAACGATAAAGAAGATAAAAGATAAGAAAAAGAGAGGAGAGAGAAAAGAGATCAATCTTCCACCTAAATATGCTCTCCATTTTGCTCTCTCCAAAGCCATACTCTCATCCTATCCAAGAAGAAGCATATCCGTTCTGATTCCTCTAATCCCAGTTTCGGTCTTCCTCTCCCTCCCCTCCCCGCCTCTTCTCCCCACCTCTCAAGTCGTATAACAGGTGCATCACTCGGTCTTCTGCGCACATGACCAAACAACCGCAATCGAGACTTCTGCATCTTATCTTATATAGGTGTTACTCCTACCTACTTGTTTAATCTCAGAAAGCTTCAGAAAGAATTGAGAAAATGCAGCATAATATAATGATCTAGGCATTTGCTGACACTCAATCTTTTTATCAGTGTTTATATAAAGACCAAGACGCATGTCATTTTCCTTTCCTCGTGTAGCATTTTCAGGGATCCAAACATACCTGAATATAATCCACTGCAGATATAACTCGTGCTCGCTGAAGCTCAAGGGGCCACTGGTCATGAGCCTCATACTCATCATCCTTGTTTGATCGCTGCCATTCATCGAAATGAGACAGCATATCAACATCCATTGTAAAATTAAGTATGCCTTGTGCTGACTCAACAGTGTAGTTTAGTTCGAATGGAATCATTTTGACTCCTTTTGTCAAAAGTACATCAACAACCTGCAAGTGCAGTAATAAACTTGAGACAAATAAACCATGTTTCCGTGTATTTACTACACTGGAGAGCCTGACAATCCTACCCAAATCACTGAGTTAGCTACCCGACAGGTTTCCATTATGTTAATACCTTTATTGGTTTTTTAAATAACATCAAACCCAGTCTAGCCTTAGTCAGCTATCAGCGGATATCAAGCAGAAAGTGGATTGTGCTAAAAGGGTTATCGGTTAACAGATAGCAGATGTATAAGGCAAAATTGACAATTTACTATTCACTAATACTCCATCCATCCATCCATAAAAATCATGTTTCTAACAGTTCATTTTTTCAAAAACAGGAGTCCATCTTGATCAAGCATGTTCGTTTCCATGAAAGTTGTCAAAACAAGTTACATATGATTTACTCACACTTACACATCAATTTTCAAAAAAATAAAAGTCTGATTGATGGTTTATGACAGTCGTAATTTCCAACCAAAATTTAAATGTTCTACATTGGTCAAGAAAGACACTTTTTTGGAGTGGAGGTAGTCAATTATTCATATTCAAAGTGATAAGATAATGGATTAGGGATTGTGAGTCAAAATATATAGAAACATGGTAATAAAGCACTCAGGCAGAAAAGGAGTGCCTGAATCTAGCAGGAGGAGAGTACCAACATTTCTACAGTGGTTTATAGATAACCAAATCAAATTTATTTATTTACCTCCATATCAGCATCCTTTAGATACCCAACAGTGAGCATCTTGACATCAACCAAAAATGGATCAGACAGTGGAATATCCCTGGACGACGGATCATTAGGGTCCTTACCCCGGATTGCATCCAAAATGATCGCACAATCTGCAGCATCTCGACAGAAAGGGCCTAATTTGTCCTATTGAATACACAGTGGCTTATATTTGATTTTTCCATCTCCAGTTCAAGGGCAAAAAAAAAGATTGGATAGCTGAGTAGAATAGTGTAGAACGGTTAGTATACCAGGCTCTCGGATATGCTCATAACTCCAGTTCGACCGATCGATCCAAAAGAAGGACGAATGGCAGTGACACCACAACGGGAAGCAGGATAGGTAATGGACCCCGCTGTTTCTGAACCAATTGCAAATGGTACTAAACCTGAATGATGACAGTCAGTTGGAGGGCTTCCTTTTGACTTCAATATGGTGTTCTAAAACTCCCTGCCAAAGGCATTCCTTGATGGCGTCTAATATTTTCTCTACTTCAGTCCCATCAGACTTGCCTAGTCTATTTATTTTTATAAATTTTTTAGGTTAGCAGATTTTTCACATTTGATATTTTGTGTCGATAACTTTCTATGCTCTAACAATTCCCATAAGCTGCCCATCTAGGCTGGCTAGGCTGGACCAGCCTTTCAAGTTCTAACTTAATAGACAGACTGATTATGATTTGACTACAAAAGACCAGCCCAAGCCCACTATTATGGGCTGGTTTAGCCCAGACCGTTACCGATCCCTATGCTAATGTTTTTGAGAATCCTATCTACATTGCTCGTGGTGCGCATTGGCGTCCCTGCACAGTGAGGATTCGGGGAAGGACCCTACCACAAGAGTGTATAAGTAGCAGGCCCTCCCTTGTCAAGTTTGACAAGAGGTCACTTCCAAGACTTGAACTTGTGACCTCTCTTCACACAGAAACACCGTACCCGGTAAGCCAAGGCGCCAAGGCGCCAAGGCTATGTGCATTGAGAAGAATAAAACTTTGCCTCGAAGATACCTGCAGAGGTGCAAGCAGCGGGTCCCGCTGATGAACCGGTGGAAAATTCATGAATATTCCATGGGTTTCTTGTCCTTCCACCGAACCAGATGTCATCGTATGCTAATGATCCTGTGACCAGCTTTGCTACAAGCACTGCCCCAGCAAATCTTAACCTATACTCACCAAGGATATATATGACAACTATGAGCAAAATAACATACCTTTATAAAGCTTTCTCTTAACACTTTATGTAGAAAATGTTACATTTATTTCTTAATTATTGTGTGTACATAATTACCGGATACATTAGATTAGAAGACTGGTCTATTAGATCAGATTAGAAGCTGTTGCTTATTGATAAGATTGTAGTTAGTCAGATCCTAAAAAATAGGATCTACTCTGGTAGTTTGTTACTTGTACATCCTGTATTTATACCCCAGCCGATTGGCATATTCAATCAAGGAATTTTATTCCCAAAACCTACATGGTATCAGAGACTTGAATTTACACATCTCAAATGGTGGAATTCGAACACTCTGACTCATCTCCCTACTCACAAACCAGTAACCCTAACTCCCATATTAGCTCAATGGCAAACTATCAGGCCTCGGTTAATTCATCTATGCTCATCACAGGGCATAGATTGAATGGAAGGAATTACATAGAGTGGTCACAGTCTGTCAAGTTAGCAATTGATGGCAAGGGCAAACTGGGATACGTAACTGGTGAAATCAAAGAGAAAAAAAGTGGTGAAGATGGCTACAGTGTCTGGAGGTCAGAAAACTCACTTGTTACGGCATGGCTTCTCAGTTCAATGGATGCATCAATCGCCAAACCTCATATGTTTATGAAAACTGCAAAAGAGGTATGGGACTCTATTAAGGAAACTTATTCAGACCTTGAAAACTCTTCTCAGATTTTTGAACTCAAAACCAAGTTGTGTCAGTCTAAACAAGGAAATAGGGATGTCATTTCATACTACAATGAAATGGTATCTCTATGGCAAGAATTAGATCAATGCTATGAGGATGAAGAATGGGAAAGTGCCAAGGATCTGGCAAGACATAGGAAAAGAGAAGAGAATGATAGGGTCTATATGTTTCTAGCAGGAATTAATAGGGACCTGGATGAAGTAAAGGGCAGAATACTCGGAAAAAAACCTTTGGCTTCAATTAGAGAAGTTTTTTCTGAGACCAGGATGAAGACAGTAGGAAGAAGGTTATGTACAACACTCCAGTACATAATGAGGAACCTGGAGACTCTTCAGCAATGGTGGCCAGAAGTGATGACAAGAAAAAACCCTGGTGTGATCACTGTAAGAAATTATGGCACACTAGGGAGACTTGCTGGAAAATTCATGGGAAGCCTCCAGGAGCAGGAAAGAAGAAGGCTCTACAAACAACTGTGACTGAAACTCAACAGGAGCCACAAATCAATTTCCAGCAGCCTGATAGGAACCTGCCTATTAGAGTATTAGACTATTATTAGAAATAATAATAATAATAATAATAATAATAATAATAATAATAATAATAATAATAATAATAATAATAATAATAGTAATAAGGATACTTGAGTATTGTAGTATAAATAGATGGGAAGGGGGAGTTAGTAGGAAGGCCTGTTTAGACATTTGTCAATTGGGATTTGGGAGATCGAGAGCTACTCTCTTTCTTGGGGGCTTTGGCTCATTGGGAGGCTACGGCCTTGGTTACCGATACTGTTCACCTTCTTCATCAATAAAGCTTTTCTGTTTGTTCTTGATATCTTCTTCTTAAACTGTTCTGGATTTCTGAAGATCCCTAACATTGGTATCAGAGCGAGACGATCGCTGGACGAGAGAGACTTGAATGAAGATGGACGGTCGTATAACGCAGATAGAAAGAAAACTGGAGGAGCGAATGACTGAAATCGAGCAGAAATTTGACAGATATCAGAAGGAATCAAATGCGAAGTTTGAGGAATTAAGAGCGAAGATGAAGGCTGGCTTCGCGGAGATTAAGAACCAGAAGAAAGATCGATCCAGAAGTAGGCCGCACACCTCAGAATCATCGTATCGCTCATCTGCATCACATCGCAAATCGCGAACTTCTTCTCATCATTCGAATTCGCTAACAGAATCTCGCCATTCGCAAACTTACTCAGCCGCGAGAAATTCGAGCCCAAGAAAGACTCGATTGAGAGGAGAATATTCATCTTCATCTCCCATCGATTCTCAGGGTTCGCCTTCTTCATGTCAAGCCATTTTTCTGAATGCGTCAACAACCCTTTCTGGTCTTCTGGCTTCGACGACAGCAGAAGTCCCCAGCTCGAAGGTTCATTCACCTGCCGGATCTCACTGTTCATCCTCGCTTATCCTCTCTCACCTGGCGCTGGAGCTAACCGCTTCCAGAACAATTGGTGTACTCACATCAGAAAAAGGACCCCAGGAGACTCCACCCACAACAATAAACACCAAATTTAAACAAGTTGTACCTTCAGTTATGGAAACAGACCCTGAAGAGGAGGTTAAGTTGAACCCCTTGATTGATATCATTCCTGAACTTAGATTGGATGTTCCTATAACAGGGCTGGACAAGATTGATGGTTTCAAAAGTGATGATGTTACTTCTATTAAGAACATTCAAGATAGATTGGGAGTAGGATTGACCAAGACTGATAAAGGAAATATTCCACATGGGGGCAAACTATTGATGCTCTTGCTAGAAGAAGTGAAGAGGATAAGACAAACAGAAAAGTTGTATGTTCAGAAACCAGTGAGGTATTGGGATGGAGAGATCAGGATTACAGATTTCTTATATGAGAAGACAGTGGGAAAGTTTGTGAAGCAAGATATTAAAACCAAAGAAAAGGTGAAATTGAAACAAGGATTGACAATGGCCATGTCTTCTCCTGGTAAGGGATCTGCTTACCTGCTAAGGGACCAACTTGGGAAGTTTTACATGAGAGATAATCCTTCTTGTTCCTTAGTTAGGAGAACTGCAGCTGGAAGAGTGTATCTGATTGCTTGCTTGCTACAGCCTCTTAGATCTTACTTCTCGAATGAAGTAGTCAAAGAATTGGAAGAGAGAGAAGCTGAAAGGGACTGCTGGATAGTGACTGAGCCGAATGAAACTTCACTTCAAATCTCTTCTACTGCTGAAAGTTCTGTGATTTTAAAAGATCTCGTATTGAAGTCCCTAGTCCATCAACCAGTTAGATATTGGGAAGGAAGAGGAACACGGAAGAGGAAGAGGAAGCAGAAGATTGAGGCTGTTTCCTATCACCCACCTTGAGGGCAAGGTGGATGTTTAGGAGGGGAGTATTGATAGGAATCTGCCTATTAGAGTATTAGACTATTATTAGAAATAATAATAATAATAATAATAAGGATACTTGAGTATTGTAGTATAAATAGATGGGAAGGGGGAATTAGTAGGAAGGCTGTTTAGACATTTGTCAATTGGGATTTGGGAGATCGAGAGCTACTCTCTTTCTTGGGGGCTTTGGCTCATTGGGAGGCTACGGCCTTGGTTACCGATACTGTTCACCTTCTTCATCAATAAAGCTTTTCTGTTTGTTCTTGATATCTTCTTCTTAAACTGTTCTGGATTTCTGAAGATCCCTAACACAGCCTTCCTTCACAGAGGAACAGATAGAGCAACTCCTTAGCCTTCTAAATACTCAGAAAAATTCCAAACCTGAAACTTCCTCTTGTTCTTATGCCCAGAATGGTACCATTTCATCATTTTTCTGTTCTGGAAAACCTAAAAGTACCTGGGTCATTGACTCAGGAGCTACAGACCATATGACTTCTATTCCAAATCTTTTCTTTTCATATAAGCCCTGTGCAGGGGACAAAAAGGTCAAAGTGGCAGATTGCTCTTTTTCAGCCATTGCAGGGATGGGAAATATTAAAATTTCCTCATCTATAAACCTCTCTAAAGTCCTACATGTCCCTAATTTATCCTGCAATCTTGCCTCTGTTAGCCAGTTAACTAAAGACTTACAGTGTCGTGTTATCTTTTATCCTTCTTATTGCATTTTTCAGGACCTGGCATCGGGGAAGATGATTGGCAGTGCTAGGGAGGAAGATGGACTCTATATCTTTGATGAAGGAACTCAATCAAATAAAAGAGGTCAAAGAAATTTGCAAACTATTTCCTTTTCAAACAATAAAGAGTTGTATTTACTTCACTTTAGACTAGGACATCCCAGTTTTTATTATTTAAAAAAGATGTTTCCTCAATTATTTTTGAATAAAGATGTCTCTGTGTTTCATTGTGATATATGTGCACTTGCAAAACATCACAAAAGCTCTTATATTCCCCAGAGTTATAAACCCACTAGCCCTTTTACTTTGGTACATAGTGATATTTGGGGTCCATCTAAAGTATCAACTATAAAGGGAAAGAGATGGTTTGTAACTATTATTGATGATCATACATGGGTTTTTCTAATCAAAGAAAAATCTGAAGTGGAAAAGGTATTTAGGGATTTTTATGCTATGGTCCAAACTCAGTTCAATACCAACATTAAACTGGTAAGAAGTGATAATGGCCTGGAATATTTTTCTCAAAACCTAAATAACTTTTTTACTGAAAAAGGAATAATTCATCAAAGCTCTTGTGTCAATACACCAGCTCAGAATGGAATTGCAGAAAGGAAGAATAGACATTTACTTGAAGTCACTCGTGCAATCATGTTTTCAACAAAAATACCAAAATATCTGTGGGGGGAAGCTGTTTTACATGCTACTTATTTAATTAACCGCATGCCATCAAAAATTTTAGGATTTAAAAGTCCTATCAATACTCTTCAGCAGTACTTCCCTTCAAACAGATTGATAAGTACTCTTCCACTGAAAATTTTTGGTTGCACAGTGTTTATAAAAAATCCAGAAAAATCTGCAAGTTTGATCCTAGAGGAACAAAATGTGTTTTTTTAGGTGTTTCTTCCACTCAAAAAGGGTATAAATGTTTTGACCCTACTACCAAAAAAATGTTTATTACAATGGACACTTTTTTTGTTGAAGATAAAGCTTTTTTTGATACTCATCTTCAGGGGGAGAGATTAAGTGAAGATGTTCAAATAGTGCCACATATTCATGAAAACCTTAATTTTCTTGATATTAATCTGGATGATCATTCCTTTAATGGAAGAACATCTGAAAATGATCAAGAATTAACAACTA